GGGAGGGAGGTGACAGAGAAACAACGCCGACCTTGTGGAACCACCCACTCATCTAAAACTTAGCTGCACACCTGCCTGCCGACCCTGCGGTGGGCCCACGGCCGAGTTCCAGGGCCACAGGGGTGAGCAGGACGGAGGCGGTCCCTCACGGCTGTGCGACGGCGGTCCTGCTGTCCGCAGTGTTCGGCAGTGAGTGCCCAGCACACGGGCGTTCTACGGAGACGACGGTGCCACTGCCACGCCCCCCAAGCTCAGGGTCTACCTAGGTGTATGCCGATTTGCACTGCCTCCCCTGTGACAGCTGTGGGTTCAGCTAGCTCATGTCCTTCCAGCGCGAGGCTTCTCAGAGCCTAGGGGCTGGGGGTCGCACTCGCAGAGGGGCAGCCTGTTGGATGGAAGAACACTGAATTTGGAACCAATAGGTCCTTGCTTCAAAAGCCTGCTCTGCCACTCACTAGCTCTGGGACCACACCACAGACCAGCGTACCAACATCTGTTCTCTCCTTCCTCCGCAGTCACAGATCCCCTACATTGTAGCTCGGCACACGGACACTGTGAACTATGGGTGCTATTTCCCAGCCTCCCTTACAGCCAAGCATGGTCACGTGATCATGTTCTAGCCAATGGGGATGTAAGCAGAGGTGCTATGTACAACTTCCAAGAAGTGTCCTTAAGTTAAGAGGCCCTGCCCCTCACCCACCCTTTTCCTATCACAGCCAACTTGGACATGAGATGACCTTGGGAATGGAGGCATGAGATGACCTTGGGAAGCAACACGACAGAAAGGGCCTGGTCCCTCCCATTGTGGAGCACCACTTCCAGATGGTACAACAACCCACCTCGGACAAGTTCCTTAGCCTCCCTGGACCTCCGCATCCCCATCTACAAAAAGGGTGCTACTGCAAGGCATCTACCCAGCAAAGCTGTTTTGAGGACTTAATGAGACAGGGCTCGCTTCACGGTAAGGGCCAGAGTTAGGAGAGGAGATGTTACTACTGTTCTTCTCTTGCTGCAACGAAACGTGTCGGAAACAGACACATCTCCACTCCGCCCTGGGTGCCCGGGGTGGCTCAGCGACACGCACCGTTGGAAGGCACCCTAGCCACTCCCGTCCTCCAGACAGGAGGAGTTCCCTTCCCCGCACCTTTGTCAAAAGGCCCCCAGGAAAGGGAAGCACACTACCTCTGGGACAACTGTTGGGACAGGGTGTTTGTCCACCTGTGAGTCACTGTCCTCACCTATCCCTCCAGAAGCCTCCCCCAATGGCCCTAACCTACCTACCGTGGCTCCGCGCTCTGCCTCCTCCTCTCTGCCCTTGGTCACCTCAGTCCTGCGTCCGGGCCCACCCACCCACCGGAACATCGAAGTTCCTTTCCATCTCTTTTGGCAGCACCCTCTGGCCTCTCCCCTCGGACAGCTTCCCTAAGGAACCGAACTGGGGAGTAAGGGATCGCTTCTGAGTCCCAGCCAATTGAAACAGAGGCTCCCCAACTCTCCAAGTGACGTTCTCTCCCACTGGAGAAGAACTCTCAGGATGTCAGCCCCCCACAGGCTCGCCTGTGCTGGCGCGGTGGCCCCATGGCCCCCATGTTCCACTGCTCGCAGTCTTGGAGCCCTCGCTTCCCGTGGGCAGCGTCGGCATTGATCTGGGAGGCATAACTCCTCATGGTGATGCGAAATCGAAGTCTGCGTCACATGCCCGAAGACCACATTCATCTTTCCTGATGGTTCCCTTCCTATCCCTCAGACACAAATCCTAGTCTGCCTCTCCCACATAGCTGTCATCTTCCCTTGTCACTGTCACTCACGCAGGCTGCTCCCAGGCACAGGCACAGCCACCTGTCCTTCTCTCCTCACTCCCTCTTCTCATACTTACACACGTTCCCACCAGCCCCTGCTGGTGCGCTCGGTCTCTCTCTCTCTCTCTCTCTCTCTCTCTCTCTCTCTCTCTCTCTCTCTCTCTCTCTCTCTCTCTCTCGTCTTCTGCCCCTCTGGCCCCACCCATTCTCAGGAGTGGAACTTTGCAGTCCTCCTCCTGGTTCAACCAGGTCCAGGGTTTAGAATGGGAACAAGGGTGGCGGGGGCAGCCAGTGGCTCCCTGGTTGGGTGGGGGACCCAGAGCTGCAACAGGAAGAAACAGCGCAGTGGTTGAGAGGTCAGGCATGAGAGGTACCCGGGGAGGGAGAAAAGGAGCAACCCGACCCAGGCGCGGCGAAGGGCGGGAGCAGAAAGCACGGGCCTGAGATGTCGAAGCAGCCACAAGTGCCTGGGAGATTTACCCTGAATCCCCCTCCCTTCGCAGCCGGCCACGGGGTTTTCTAATGGGAAGGGCCACTCCTGCGGGCTGGCTGCTCCCGGAACTGTCTCCCTTTGCAGAGCGCTTAGCCTCATCCTACTTTAAAAAAAATTTTTTTTTTTACTCCAGGGGTGTGACTCACATGGGCATAAAACCTTGAGATTTTGGGCTGTTTTAAATTCACATTACACATTAATTTGCACTGCACAGCAAGAATGCTGCCACATGATTCCAACCACACCAGACTCAAGCAGGAAATGAGACCCCACACGGGTTTCTGTCTCCCCCCAACAAACACCTTCTGCTCTCCGAGGTCAGCACAGCAGCAGCACGGCCCGTGGCCCCCCCCACCCCCCACCGTGCAGAGGGTCACGGGCGGGTGAGAAAGAGGGCACTGCTCCAGTGGGGCTCAGAAAACAGGCCGAGGATCTGCGCTCTCATCCACAGCTCCAAACCTTCCCACTCTCACTGCGTCTGCCCACCACCGTCCCCCTTCAGGGCCGCCTGGACACTCATTTCCTCCACGGTCCCTGTTTGTACACGAGGCTGGGAGCAAGGGGAAGACAACAGTGCCAGGTGCCAGGGCGCAGCCTCCACTCCACAGAGGGGCCCAGCAGAGCGACCAGCCTGAAGACTCACCGTTCCTGAGCAGCCAGGACGAACAAAAGGGACGAATGTCACCTTTCCTCCTTTTCCCATTGGCGGTCCCTTCCACCCTGGCCCCACCCTACCTCTGAGCCCTCAGTCCCGACCCCACACCCAAACCTCCCCTGAGGGCTTTTCTTGTTTGTCTTCTTGAATCCACACGAATCACTAATTACTGATTTAAACCCAGACACTAAATGAAGGACAAATACAGCACAACCAATAATACCAAAATGGTATTTGGGACTGGCGAACAGAGAGCTTCCTGCCCTCCGGATTCTGCCCGAGCTCACGGCAAACACAGAGACACAGAGAGGCTATCCTGGCCCACTCGCGGGCAGAAAGCTGGTGCACGTTGCCGCCAGACCAAGCGCCCCGGATGCTCGGGGTGGCAGGGCTGGCTCCGGGGAACTCACACGCTGGTCCCTTAACGCGGCTGCACACGGGAATTACCTAGGAGAGCTGAAAGACCAGTGCCTGGGTCCCCCTCCCGGAGGATCTGGTTTGCCACCTGGATTTTTAAAAGCTCCCCTAGTGGTTCCAACATGCACCCAAGTTTGAGAACCACTGACCGAACACATTTATTATGTGTTCAGACCTTTTTCAAAGTGGCCGGGATGTTCAGAACACCTCACAGCCTTTCACAGTCCAGGCAGCCCTTGGAGGCACCACCCCATTTTCCTGAGATTCAGATTCAGTCATGGTGGGGCTGAGATCGGAACTCAGGTCCTCTGACTCCAGAGTCCATTCCCTTTCTATCCACCTGCAAACTCCTGCAAGGGCGTGGGCAGTGCCTGAAAGCGACCTCCATGGCCAGCAGGCCATGCATACATAGACAGCTAGATTTGGAGAGGCAAAGACCACGGGCAGCAGTGATCGCCTGTCCTGAACGCAGGGGACCCCGCCACACAGAGAGGGCAGGAGGTGCGCTCACAGTGAGGTCTGAGGCGATGCGGGGAGACAGACGCCCTGGCCAGGGAGCTCATCCTAGACCCAGTATGCGTCCTAAAATACCACACCTAAGTCGGAGCTCAATGGCATGGGAAGTACCTTTGAATTTGAGAATGGACAAGTGTGTTAGGCAAAAGGAGAGCTCTTCACAGGAAAGAGAATCCCGAAAGGAGGTACCAAAGGTTTGTTTCTCGGGGCCAGTTTCTGCCCCCAGCTCTAAGCATCCTGACCTTCTGTGGGGGCACAAACACCAGCCCTCACAGACCCGCAACCAGGCAGCTGCAGTTCCTCCAGCCACTGCTCCATCAGAGCAATGATCTGAGCTTCCCCGGTGAGGGGACGCACAACAGGTGACTTCAAGCGTTGTTTCTACCCAGCCCTGACTGGTGTGACTCAGTGGCTTGGGCGTCACCCCCAAGCCAAAAGATCAGCAGTTCGATTCCCAGTCAGGGTGCATGCCTGCGTAGCAGGCCAGGTCCCCGGCTGGGGCGTGTGAGAGGCAATTGATCAATGCTTCTCTCACACATCGATGTTTCTCTCCCCTTCTTGCCCCTCCCTTCCCATCTCTCTAAAAAGAAATAAAATCTTTAAAACAACACTTTTTCCATCCAAACTACTTAGGCAGGACGAAAGCACCCCTTCAATCTCTTTTCCAATGACACCCACCTCCCCTCCAGAAAAAGCAGCACCATGGTCACCAAACCAACCTTCCCCGCAGAGTGGGAGTCAGGCTGCCGGGCGGGCTGGGAGTGTATGTGGACCCCCACAGGAGTGAAGCCCCTCGGTAATCTGCAAGAACCAGCCCTCAGTCCACATGGAGTCCCGGCACCACCCACACGCAGAGGGGGGTTCTCACCCCACTGCAAGGCTTGGGACAGACACTCTAAGGACAGCAAATGCTCCTTCTCAAAGACAACAAACGACATGCCACCATTCCTCCTGGGTCAGACACGGGCCTCTCGGTCCTCCCTTCCAACCTGTGTCACACGCAGGCCGCCTCCGGGTGTCTCGGAAGCCGCGTGTTGACAGGAAAGAACCACAAGGAGTTACAGGAACCCACGGCAGGTTAAACTTTCCCATCGATCGCACTGATAGCAGCGCCACTCACCCAGCGCCGCCAGACAGCTCAGCAGCCGGAGAAAGCACTTCATGTCGGCAGCGGAGCAAAGACGCAACGCGGGGGCGCTTTCTCCTCTCCCAGGACTCAACCTCTCATTTCTGGCAATCCACTTGGAGCTCCGGGGCACAGTTTTGGAAACAGAACTCAACTCGGAAAATAAGACCAGGCTGCTGAGGAGGGACCCGCAGGAAGCAGTGCGGGAGGTCGGGGAGGGGGGCCGTGCTAAACTCCCCCGTGCAAAGGAAGGGTCCAGAACAACCCTGCCGGCGCTCCAGGCTCCTGCCACATCGTGTGTCTTGCGGTTTCCACTGGAACTGTAGATCGCGGTGGATTAATCCTCACGGAAAAGGGAAACGAGTCTGAGGAAATCCTTTCATCCACTGATTATACAGAAATGTCCTTGGCTTCCCGGTGAAGGAGTCTGCACGCTCGCTCGCTCACTCGGATTCCCCAAAGGGAACCGGGCAGGTCTCGCCAAAACCTCTGACAGCCAAATCGCCGGGGCTGGCACGGACCGTGTGGGCTTCTCCATCCCGAAGTCCGTCTCCATCCATGATGGCAGGTCACGGAGCTGCCGCCTGCCCCAGACCCGCCCGCACACACGCAGCGGAGCACGGAGCGGCCGGCGTTTCGGTGCCCCGAGGCGGTCCCACAACGCCGGCAGATTTCTGGAACAAACACGGCGGAGATTTATCAAAGGCCGACCTCCCTCCCCGCCGCAGAGCCGAGAGGGCTGTGCCGGCGGGCACCCGGGCTCCCGCTCCCGGGCCCGGGCGTTCGGCCCTCGCGGGCTGACCTTGAGCAAGTCGCCGAGGCGGCCTCCGCCTCAGTTTCCCCGCCCAGAGCAGGGCGACAGTGGGAAGCCCGATGGTTCCCGCCGTACTTTTCGCCTAAAGCTTCCCCGCTCCTGGGAATTCCCTTCGCCAACCTCGGAGCCCGGCTGCGGGCAGCCCCACCCGCCGCTGGGGCCAGTCGGGAAGGGGCTCCGAGGTGCGGCCGCCACTCCCGGTTCCACCCCCAGGTCCGGCCTCCACCCCCGACGTGGGAGATAGGCGCGCGGCGTCCCAGGTGGCCCCGCTATTGTTTTACCTTCCCGGGTGTTTGTTTTTTGCTGAGTGGAAGGAAAAGGGACGGAGGGAGAAGGGAGCCGGGGCTCCGCGTTCCGCTGCCGGGACGAGCTCGCGGCGCACCCAGTCGGCCAGGGGAGGGTCTCGGGCCGACCCCACAGCGCGGCGGGCGGGCGCTGCCCCTCCCCGCGCCCTCCCAGGGCTCCGCTCCCCCCTCTCCGTCGCCACTTCCCGAGCCGGCCGTGCTTCCCCGATCCTACCTCGCAGCAGCCCTCTTCCTCGGCGCGCGTTCGTCCGTCTGTCGATCGGTCGGCTGGGGAGCACGCCTCGGGGGACGCGCCGCCTCCTCCCTCCCGCTACGGCACCAGCCGCGGTGCTCGGCCCCTCCCGAGTCCCCGCCCCCTCCAGCTCCGGCCGCTGCGCCCGGGCGGGCAGAGCGCGGGGCGAGAGAGCGGAGGCCTGGGCCAGAGGCACCGCCCCCGGGCCCGCCCCTTCCCGCAGACCCCGAGACTAGCGGCCGGGCTGCGGGCCTGGCCCGGACCAGGCTGGCGGGGGCCTGGGCGTGGGAGGGGGCACACCGGTGCCACACCTGCCGGTGGGGAGGGCCACCTGAGGACCTGGACGCATCTGGCGTGTGGGCCAGCAGCCCCCAAAGTTAACCAGGGGTTCACACGCAGCCTCTCGGGCCACCAGCGAGATGCCCAGGCCTTTCCCAAAGCCCCACAGGACCCGGGGACCTGGAGGAGGGCGGCACAGGAGCGCGTCCTCTCTCCGCGAGACGAAAACAAAGCCCTCGCAGAAGGCTTGAATCTGTTCATGTAACGAACCCCATATTGTGTTTCACTCTGGGACCGAATTTCCTAGAAGTTGAGACTGAACTGGACTCTGCGATAGTCTGGGTTCTAACTCTCGGTTCCTCTCCACTCCCTCAAGACTAACCTTGGTGGAGTGTTCTTTCTACCTCAAATTCCCCATCTGTTACATGGAGAAACAGCCTCTACTTAATAGGGTTATGTGAGATGTCCATGACATCACTGGTGAAACAGAATGGTGCCCGCCACGTCTTCGGTGCTCAGCAGATGGAAGCTGTAATTATTCTGTGTGGAAGTCCTATCCAAGCGAGTGCGTTTTCGTTCATTCAGTACTTTCCCAACACCCATGGGTGCTGGGCAGGCACCCTTACGAGGTGTTGAGGGTAGAGTAGGATAGGCCTGCCCTCCCGGAGCCTGAAGTCTAATGGGGAGACCACAAGACAGGCATGGCAAGAAAAGAACAGTGCTGAAGAAGCATGTGCAAGGACACGGGCCCTGGGTTGGGGTCCAGACATGAGGAACAGGGGCAGTGGGTCACCCCGGAAGGCTCCTCAGAGGAAATAGTAACTAGGTAGCATCGAAGGAACAGGGGTCACCAGAAGGAGAGAGAGGACGCACAGGCCTTGGAACAGAGGGAAGAGAGAGTGGCCCACTTCGAGGACCAGAAATCGTTATCGCGTCCTAACTGGGCTACAAGAAATGGCAAGAAATGAGCAGAGAAGAAATCCAGTGCCTGAGCCAGGAGGACTGTGTATGGTGTGCTCAGGGGGTTGGAATTTTGCTGGGGGCCTTTTGGATAAGCAAGTACTGTTTTCAGATGTCCCTTTGTAAGAAGACCACACCGGCCTAGGTGGAGGGCAGATGGAAGGGAGGTTCTACAGGAGTCTGGGGGTGTTGCTGAAAATCTAGACAGAAAGTGATGGCGACCAGGGCCACAGAAGTGGCAACAGGGCGGGAGAGGAGTGAGTAGGTCCCCTGGACGTGGGGAGGTAGGCAGGCTCCTGGGGTTGAGGGTGAGAAAGGGCCAGAAAAAACAGTTCGGCCTCAGGGGCTGAGATGGGAATACACAGGCTGAGGCCAGGATGGACTGTGTTTGAGATGCCCAAGGGCGTGCGAGTGAAGAAGGCCAAACAGCAACTGGGGTGGGAGGTGGGCTGGAGTCCAAAGCTCAGAAAGGGACTACGGGTTTGTAAGACTTTTTTCACCCTACTGGACAGTGTGACAGTGAGAAGATTCAGTGAAGGAATAGACTGATAATTCACTTACTGAAAAAAAAAAAAAAAAGACATGAACACTCCCAGCATGCAGGGCAATGAAGAACATGCTATGAGGGATATAAAAATAACCAAGGGGTCTTACTCGCCCCCACCCCTCTCCCTTAGCTATAAATTCCTTGCCGGCAGGATCTGCCCTTAGATAACCATTTATTGCAAACAACTCTTGGCATTGTGACCTGCATGTAGTAATTGCACTATAAATACTCGAATTAAATTGAATTGGATTAAATATTTATCACATATGCCAAGTACGGTACTGAAAATCTCCTCTTGTGTGCTGAATATTATCTCGTTCTCCCCAAACAACCCTGATTCTGGCATCTCTCACTTCTCCCTCTCTGCTAGACCCTTTCATTTATTTATTGAGCCTCTACTATGTGCCCAGAGAAGTCTCTGCTCTCATGGTGCTTCCATTCCAGGGGGAAACCGATACATGTATATCATCACCTGGGGAAAGTGAGATGAGGAAAGTGTGCGTGTGTGTGTGTGCGGGGCATGGAGGAGGACTCTGCTCTAGGTGTGGTGGTCAGGGAGAGCCTCAGGCTGTGACATTTGAGCAGACAGCTGATCAGAGGGATGGCAGGAGCCTTGGGGATTTCCTGAGGGGGAGCGTTCCAAGGTGAGGGAACGCCAAGGGCAGGCTCCTTAACAGGCTCAGAAGCTGAAAGGCATGCCTGGAAGAGCCTGAGAGAGAAGAGGGAGGGGTGTTCTCAAAAAGGTCACGGAGGCCCAGTCCTGCGGGAGCTCACAGGCCAGCGTGGCAGTTTGGCTGCAGAGCAAGGATAAGGCAGGGAAGGAGCGAGTGGAGGAGGGGCACAAGAAGGGAGGCTTTTCTAGTTATCTTGGTGAGAGACCACAGACCACAGCTCGGACCAGGGTGGGAACGAGGCAGGTTATTAGAAATGTGTGGAGTCTGGACGCATTTTGAAAGTAGACTCAATAGAATTTTCTGGAGAATTGGATAGGGATGGGGAGAGAAAGAGGAGAGTCAAAGAATCTTCCAGAACATCCACCTAAGTCTCCTTTGGAGGTTTCTGACCCACCGCGCTGCCCAACTCCTTTTCTAAGCCCATACTTCCCAAGCGTTTACTCCCCAGGCCTGGGCCACTTCCTCGTGTCCTTGAACTTGTACTCCATTATTCCTTCTCAGTTGTTTCTTCTCAATCTACCTCACCTCCTATCACTCAAGGAGGACCTCTTGCATCCTCCTAAATAACCTGTCAACCCTAGGCTGTTTCCCAGCATAGCATCTTTCCTGTTGCCACGTCGGCGACCCAGCTGAGATGTCCCAAGGACGGTGCTGACTCAGTCTAGGGCACGGAGAGTAAATTCAATGAAAAGAAGGCCTCTGCCCACCATGCGAAGAAACACATGAAGTGAGAGCTGCCCAGTGGCATGATGGGTCATCTGCAGGCAGAGAAAGCCATAAGGGAGGGAGAGACGTCAAAGGAGAGAGGGCACAGAGTCCCCAGTCAGCCGGCGCATCCGGTGCCTGGTCTGAACACCCGCAGCTGGCTTCCCTGCATCTTACGTTGGAATGTGGTAGCCTCTCCTGAGTCAGCCTGCACCGGGCGCACACTTGGGGTGTTATGAAGACTCCCTCCTCACTCTTCTCCCCCCCAGGGAGGTAAACGCAGAAGCCTGCCGAAGCCTGGCTGACTCCCAGCTTCTGCGAGGCGTCGCAGTTGGAAACAAAGGTCCAGTGTTGCCTGATTTTCTTACTTTTCAAGAAAAGCAGGAAAGCCAGATTTGGTTGAACTCTTCCTGATTTTTTTTTTCATTGGAAGCTAGTGTTTCAGAATAAGCGAAACCCTGGGGGAAGAGCCGGGCAAATGTGTTCGTGGTTAAGATACAGTAGGGCTCCAGGCCCACTGTGGCTGTCATCAAAGGCTAATATAAGGCCATCCGTGACATAAAGACACAAATGCGGGGGGAAAGGGGCGTCCGCCGAGTCCCCTTCTGTCCGTTGAAAGAACATGCAGGGCACGGCATTTTGGGTAAAGACAGCCTGACACTTGGTGCTCCAGCACAGATGTTAATTGCTCTGCTGCACTTTGAAATGCCAAGTGGAAAGAGCAAAGCTCCGCACCTCACAAAGCAGCCACTAGACAACCCTCCTGATAGCGAGTTCCTTCCTGGTGATTACCCTCCTACACAGGCGAGGATCCCCGAAGCCGAAGACTCGGAATAGCTCACATAGGATGCCATCTGTCTTAAAACAAAAAAAAAAAAAGAAAAAAGAAAACAAAACAAAACAAAAAAACAGAGTTGACTGTTATATCTTGAGATCAGGGTGGCAAGGGGGTAGGTAGGTCGCTAAGGCATTTCCTACAGGGGGTTTCCCAGAACCCGAGGTGTTGGAGAAGGGGCTGGCGTTGCCTCCGTGGAACCCCAAAGACTGGCTTGTCCCACAGCGGGAAGTAAGATTCCATTCGGCTAACACTCTCCTTCCTCCATGAACCCCCAGAGCTGTGCTCGCTTATTCTCAGGTCTGCAGAGAACAGCGGGTCTGGAGAAGAAAGTCTGGGTTTGTGTCCCAGGTCTGCATTTCCCATTGCTTCACTCCGGTCAAGTTGCTTCGCCCCCCTCACCCTCTGTCCCCCTTCCTGGAAGCGGGTAACAAGAGCACCGGCCCTCGAAGTCAGTGCAGGTACCTGGTACTTAGCATTCAGTCATCATTAGCTAGTCTCCTCCCTAACCATGAATCTCACACAGTCCAGGGGGCGGAAAACCAGGAGCCAGAATTCCTGGTTTTCCAGAGGTGCCAAACAAAAGTCTGCAGAGCCCTCCACCTGGACACCGGCATGGCTGAGAGCAGCAGCCAGTGCTGGCAGCCGGCCTGGCTGCCCCGGGACATGGAGAGAGGGAGAATTCCTGGTTTTCAGCCCAGGCTCCGCTAACCTCTGTGTCTTTTGACCTCTCCAGACGCAAGTTTCTTCTTTTGTAAAATGAAGTTGGTTAGACTGGTCAGAAGGCCCCACACTGGCTGTGCATGAATTACTCTAGAAGCAAGAACATACAGATTCCCGGGCCCTGCCCAAACATCCACGTGAGACTGAACCAGATGGGCGCCTCCAGCTCAGAACCTCGTGACGGCTTTCCACAAATTCATGATCCCGTCTCATCAGTCCGAGTCCATTTACGATTTTGACCGATAGGTCCTCTGGCGACATAGCTCGTCACCCAGATCAAAAGAGTTGAAAGAGTTCACCTTTTCATTGGGATTCCATTCCGGAGGCTCCCCACCCTTCCTACCCAACCCCCAAGTGCTTCCTCATGCTGGGTTCCTCTTTTCCCAAATCCCTGCAAAC